TTTTTTTATTCTTTTGCGTAAAACTAAAATTCATGCCAATATTTTTCCATGATTTATAAAAATTGGAGTAATGCAAATGCATATTTTCTAAAAAAAAGTCAGTTTTTAGTGAAATTTTGCCTGGAATGGGGCTTTAAAGGTTAACCTCGTGGGAAGTGTTGGAAAGCTGTGGGCAAGAGTGAGTAAAAAATGAAGGAAATGTGGTCCAGCATGCAAGGTAGTGATTTCTATAGTTCCATTAGTATTGCATCTCTTTGCAGGTTCTGCTTCAAATTACGGTAAACAAAAACAATGTGATCTTTATTTGTAGCTAGTAGTGTAGAGAGGCCTAAGCTATGCACGATGTTCGTGGCCAACTCCTTGCCCTAAATAAAGCTATGCGACAGGTTAAATATTACATTGATTAATAAAAAATAAATGAATAGACATATACAAATGACGATTGTGTGTGGTTTTTGTTATCCTTTACATGTTGATACTAGGCCTAACTCTTATCCTATCTGCGGTCGACTAAAAATCCCAAATATGCTAACGGCAAAACAACATATTGTATCTACACATGGAGTATTCTATAGCCAATAATTGGGCTAGTAAAATAGCCTATGGGCTAGTGAAATCTACATTGAACTTGCCCAGTTGGCTAGTAAAAAAATAAAAAACGAAAAATCGAGCCCTGGTATGCTGTACTTCTGTACGATGTTGATGGCAAGTATTGGCAAATTGGGTTTTGGCAAATAGGGTTGTTAAGATTTTGATGAACTGGATTCGGATCTGGGTTTCAGAAAGTGTGAACTCGGCAAACTAGGTTTTGGCAAACTGGGTTTCGACAAACTGATACAAACGGATGCCTACAGTATTAAAACAGACATTTTTCCTGAGTAACATGTTTACCAGGTGACAGGTTGGGTTTTATAAATAGCAGAGAATTATTATTAAGTGACGAATACCAATACAGATACGAATAGGAATACAGTTATTTATCTTTCATCAATAAAACAAAAGAAAAGCAACTTCAGTTGGCAAAAACCAAATACAAAATCATTAAAATCCAAATAGAAAAAAAATTATTAAAATTGGTTAAAAATATGAAATAATAAACAAGAACACTTTGATATCGTTGACAAAAAATGACAAAATCGGTGACCCAATGTAATATCACAAGCAATTTTTAAAGGGTTTTTGTAGATTTTTACAGAGAGCAATTTTTTAATAAAGACAATATATTATTTATCTTATTAGGTTCAAGTGATCCGTATGTGAAGTTTATTATGAATGGCAAACAGCAATATAAAAGCAAGACCATCAACAAGAATTTAAACCCTGTCTGGGATGAGAGGTGCACACTGACAATTAATGATGTCAACGATCCAATCACAATTCAAGTTTATGATTATGATAGAGGGCCTGTGTCAGATGACTTCATGGGATCGGCTCAGTTTTACCCATCATCACTCCAGCCTTCAGTGTAAGTTTTAATTTTCGTAATACAGTAAAATGTTTCAAATAGCATCATAGTAATTTGTAATGAAATATTTTTTTTGATAGATATTTGATATAGAATTGAATAATATTTTAAATTTAATTAAAATTTGAGGAAGCATATTTCATTTCAAACATGTTTATAATGGGACAGTTGATGAAGAGTGTTAGCTAAATTTAACCATGAAAATCAATTAAATATTAATATTTTTCCTGTTATTACTGCGAGTATTGATGTCGCCAGCGTCTTTTAGAGTAATCTAAACCGTGTATATAAGACATCTCATAAACGAGCGCTACATTGTTATTCCCATGTTTACGATATGTGTATATTTATTTATCTTACCTTATAAACTTTTCAAGCACTTGACAAAAAGATTTCAATCAAAAATTGTGGCATTGAATATGTTAATTTGATACGCAGCGCATTGCCCTACACTGCAGCGCCCCTTGGAATACGGTACTTCTCATTGAATGGAAAAGGGTTCATGTTTGGAACTAATGACCATGTATTCAATCAATCAACATGGATTTGTAGACTGCCAATATCCATGACGAATCGTAAACCTGCAAGATTTAAAGAGAACATACTATCAATACAATAACACTAGGCTACCCACAGTTCAATAAAAGAAAGAAAAGTACATCCCATGACAGTTGTGTATCAGTTGAAAAAAAAGATTTCATTCCATTTTTTTTAAAATTCATGTTATCAATTTTAGCTTTATAACATTTTTACCTTCATTCCAAATTACAGTACAGCACGTAAAGAATTTCCTTTGGTCGATGAAGGGAGCACAGATGAGCTTGGTTACCTCATCTTGGAATGCACTCTCGTTCCAAAGAGCAAAGCTGAAAGAGAACGGGTAAGTTTACAAAATCACTAAATTCTCTTTTATTTTTCAAAGGCGGAATATATGAGGGAAGATTAGATTTTATGTATTAGCATGAGAGAATTTTGTATTTCATTGCATGATATTTCTGTAGTATATTTTCCAATTAGATTATTTCATGTTAAAGATATATTGCCTGATGAGCTAAAAATAAAAACTATTACAAAAATTAATCAAATATTTTGATTGCTTACTTTGTCTATAAAAATCTTTCAATTTAAAGAATATCAATAGGAAATTTATTTCTTGCCAATTAACTGATTTCAATAATAAGTTTACTAAATTCTTTGTATAGCACATTAAAATGGCGGGTAATAAATTTTTTTAGTAAAATCCTTGTAAATCAGCAAAATTTATGTTTAGTTCTGTGTATCAATGGAAGCTAAAACTTATTTTATCCTTTTTTAAAGGATTTTTAAATCCATTTTTAAAGGATTTTTTTTACACATTGTAAGACAGATGATATATCTTTAAGGAATTTATGTTATGTATAGCCAAAGTGTATAGAATGGAAAGACTGTCCAAAACTCTCAGGGTTTCCTATGAAGTGTAATTCTATCACCAAAAGTACTGCAATGACTTAATATGGCGTCCTTCAAATGAGAAGATATGCATGCAAAAGTTGTTCGTATTGAACACATACTGCTTGTTCGTATTTTTTAACTCTATTATAATTATACCGTAGAGCTCGCGTTTAATCGTGGTAGAACTGTGTTTTCATTTTATTGCGTGCATGCAAAATCAGCAAAGTCGGACCGATTTCTATTCTATAATCTCTGGTATGGCATATCAATAAAGCACATCTGGATACATTTTATGAAAGTAATTACTCTATATATCTTCATCATTCTACAGTATTTTACATTTTAACATTGTTTTGTATTTCCTATATATTCCTAGGTATTTTACATTTCAACCAGGCCAATCTTACAATTGGCCTAGATGAAATTCACTATTTCTCTGATATGTATTAGATGAGAAAACGTTATTGATTTTATAAAGCGAACCATGTTTTTTGATTGATTTTTTTTTTCAATTTTATGTTTGATTTATAGCGCTGAAAATAACATCTTGTTCAAAACAATATTTTAACTTTGATTTAAATTTTTATTATTCTTATCTGTACCTTAAATATAATTTTCTTTTAAACAAAAACCAAGAATCACTTTCTATGGACAGTTTTGAGTATCCTGGACGATAGCCTTCTTCAGAATTACTGTATGGTACAGTAGACCCTTTGTTTCCGGTTGGATGAATCCTGACTGTGGATGGCGTCAAAAGAGGATCGTATAATATATATAATGGGCCCCCTCATCTCTGTTCATAACAAGGGATCCTGTAAGTCTTATCCAAAGTGGTGTAGGGATGGGCAGTTCAGCCAGGGCCCAACAAGGCTATTATTACCATTCATAAATAGGCCTAAAAATAATAATTAAGTAATTTCCAACTTAATATTTTTGGAGAAAAAAATGGCAGACGACTCATTAATATTTACCGGTATGTTTTAGATGAGTAATTATTGATTAACTTTGTTCATTTTAATTGAGCGGCGGATTCAAGGGGGCCCAGCTGGCCCGTTCCCATACTCCCTCCCATCCCCTTTAATTTTTTTTAAATAAAAAAAAAATGGGGGGGGGGGGGAGAAACCAGAAAATTATATTCAAATTTAATCCTGGGAGTGCCATTTCTGGCCATATATATTCAATTCAGTTCAATTGCTTTAATGCTACAAATGCCATCAAAGGGCCAATATCCGCACAACAAAAAGACATTTGACAAACCTAGAAGTGCCATAATCCCCTGGTTGGGGCTGAGGTGTTCTAGACTCTCTATCTGTGAAAGTCCTTTCCGGGTCCCCTCCATTTCAAGTTCCTGGATTCGCCAATGCAATACGACCCACAAATTTTCTTTATTTTAGCTTCTGAGACCGCATAGGCCCCTCTTATCATTAGTGTTGGGTAAAAAGATGCACTTTTTATCCATTTTCTGAAAACTTTAATCAGTACTGTATACTATTATACCAGTCCTAGAATTATCCTTTAAAAGAGATGATTAGATGACGAGATCCTGGATCTCGTCATGTCTGCATCCTTTAGAAGAGATGATTAGATTACGAGATCATAGATCTTGTCATGTGTACATACTTTAGAAGAAATAAAATGCAAAAGCAATGAAAAAACGGTGTACAGTCATTGAAAGTTGACTTGCGGAATTTATTAAGCTATAACAAAATCAAATGGATATTTCGATAGCTCCTGCTATCTTCATTAATGTTAAAGTGAGAAAACTTTGGAGATCTTACATATACATAAAGAATAATAAATGGTATAAACCAATCAGAATCAAGTTATCAATACAATTAGTTGATTGGACCACAAAATATAAGTTCAGTGACAAGTTAATGGGCGAATTAATTACAATTAAACCATGATAAGATGTCAGCAAAATGATTATGTAAGCGATAGTTTATTGGCGGTGCCATTGAACCAGCTTAATTGCTAAAACTTACGGTATTTAACTACAGTAAACAATAACAGGAAATAAACATAGTAAGATTAATTTAGTTCCTATATAGTTAAAACAATTGTGGAATAGAAAATAAATAGCTGAAATATAAGGTATATGTATGAGATTAAATAATATAACGCATGATATCATGATGACTATTGAATACAGTTTAGAAATCAATGAATATAATAAAATGTTCATAAGTAGAAATAATATATAGCATATATTGTTAGATACTGTATTCATAAAGAAATATTGTGTATGAAGGCATAATCACATGTAGAGATTAAGTCCTTATTTAGACCCTTAATGTGAGTTTTTAACCGGATTATCCATTTCATTTCTGCGTTACGTCGTTCTTGTGTGGATTTTAAATTGCAACCTATTATTATAGCCCTAAAGTCATTGATGGTGTGATTAGGTGAATTAAAATGTACGCTTACTGGGCAGTTGAGTTTGTGTCTTATAGATGATTTGTGGTTGTTCGTTCTAGATCTGAAAGTTTCCAGTTTCGCCAACATAGTTTCCCTTGTTGCATTTGTTGCAGTATATGAGGTATATAATATTGGGCGAGTTACAATTCAGTGCTGGTGGCCGGATTGTTATTGATGGACCAGTACACCGGGGTAATCCACCATCGGAACCATTGGCGAGTGAGCCGTTATAATACAGTAGATATTAAAAAATGGAGGAGTTATTAAATTACAAATTATTTGTTTATCTTAATTAGAATGGAAAAAAATGACATACCAAGTTACAGAAATATTTTTTAAGTTCAAGAAGGCTCCTGAAAATTTTAGCGTTCGGAGTTTCCCCAACCCCTGGGGGAAATTGATAGCTCTCAGCACACCCCCACCCACTAGCCATAACTCAGGCCTGTGATCCTCGGTTGACACTTTACAGCACAGCAAAGAACCTGGCAATTTTTCTTGCACTGGGGCCCGTTCTCACCTAGCTACACCATTGCTGATCCAGATGGCTTCACAAATTTCGGGTGGAGTAAATGAGCTGTTAGTATTGATGATGTTGCATAATTGACATCTAGAGCTGTTACATTGTGTGTTGCCATGTATCAGTTTAGTGGAGGAGAGTTTAGATGAGGTTAAAGTGGACTTTAAATTAGGGGGTTGCCTACGTGCTAGTAGAGGGGGCTGTAAAAATAATTCTTTAATCGATGGGTCTTCTTGGAGGGAGAGGAAGTCACTTTTAATTCTCAGTTGCAGGATGCTGGGGCTATAGTCAAATACCATAGTTTTCTCACTTTAATGTTGATGAAGATAGCCGGAGCTATCGAAATATCCTTTTGATTTTGTTATAGCTTAATAAATTTGTGTTCCGCAAGTCAACTTTCAATGATTGTACACTGTTTTTTCATTGCTTTTGCATTTTATTTCACATGGAGCATACATGCAAACCCAATCTTCAATA